CGCCGTCCCCTGTGCAAAACCTGCGGCTGCTCCGCGTCCTGCCCTGGTGCCCTTGGCTGGGGCTGAGCTGGACCGGGGGTCATGGAGATGTGGGGTCTGCACGAATGTGGGGTCTGCAGGGGCTGGGGGGCTGCACGAATGTGGGGTCTGCATGAGGCATCAGGGCACAGCACAGGCTGGGGGGTCCTGCAGGAATGTGGGGTCTGCAGGGGCTGGGGAGCTGCATGGCTGGGGGAGGCTGCACGAATGTGGGGTCTGCACGAATGTGGGGTCTGCATGAGGCATCAGGGCTTCATGGGCTAGGGGTCCTGCAGGAATGTGGGGGCTGCAGGGGCTGGGGGGCTGCACAAATGTGGGGTCTGCACAAATGTAGGGTCTGCAGGGGCTGGGGGACTGCATGGCTGGGAGCTGCGTGTCCCTGCTCCTCTCCCTGCTCCTTTGGCTGTTTGTCCCAGGGCTCCTGGGGCTGCGTCTCTCCCACGTAAATCCCTCCTCGGTGCCACTCACTGATCTGGTCGCTCCAATTTTCCTTTTCCTCCACCACGACTGGGGTCAGGTCTCTGAGACCCCCCCTATCCCTGTACCTCCGCCTCTAAGTGCAGAATGGCATAAACGGTCCCTGGATTCCGCCTTCCCCCCCAAATAAACCCACCATCATTTCTCCTCCACACAGGGATTTTTCCACCTCCTTGAGCCAGGATACCCTATACCCGGAGGAATATGCGGTGCCACGGCTGCTTCAGGGGACTTTATTGTCAGGGAGCTGGTGCAGGGGCAGCGGTGCTGCCAGGGACCGTGGGGCACCGGGCTGTGGGGAGCAGGGCCATGGGCAGCAGGGCCATGGGCAGCAGGGACATGGGGACAAGGAGCATGGGGAGCAGGGCCATGGGGAGCACAGGCATGGGCTGCATGGGCTGCATGGGCTGCATGGGCTGCATGGGCTGCATGGGCTGCACGGGCTGCGCGGCAGAGCGGGAAGCGCTGCCCCGTGCAGTGGGAGCAGACCCGGGCGATGCTCTGGCCCTGCTCCTAGCCCGTGCACTTGCAGACG